CACACAGGCTCACACAGGTGCATCGAGGCTCACACAGGTGCACACAGGCACAAACAGGCACACAGAGGCACACACAGGTGCACACAGGCTCACACTGGTGCACACACAGGCACACTTAGGTGCATAGAGGCACACACAGGTACACACAGGCTCACACAGAGGCAAGCTCAGGTATACACACAGGTGCACCCACAGACACCCAAGTGTACACAAAAGCACACACAGGTACACACAGACACACAGCTGCATCCACAGGTGCACACAACACACACAGGTACACACACAGCACACTTAGGTGCATAGAGGCACACACAGGTGTACACACAAGCACACTTAGGGGCACTGAGGCACACACAGGTGCACACAGGCTCACACGTAAGCATGCTCAGGTACACATACAGATGCACCCAGAGGCACATGCACACACACTCAAGTACACATACTGCTCGGCTTTTGCCGGTGCAGAGACGGACCTTGAGTGGTGGAGCTAGGTTTGAGTCCCAGCCTATCTGCTGTGCTCGGACCCACCAGCCCCATCTCCTCACCTGTGAACGCGGATGTGAGTGTGAATGGGGTCCACCAGCTCCTGAGGTCTGAATGCCTGGCAGCACACAGTTAGGAACTCTTGCCGACCTTGTCCTTGAGCTCTCAGTTGTTGGGGGAGGGGAAAACTCAGCGTGAGTGAAGCTGGTCATATTTCCCTACCAATTCTTGGACCAGTAGCTCAGGACTGTGGCCATTCAGGTCTGACCCAACAAGGACAGAGCTTGGAAAACTGCAAAATACAACATACCTGCTGTAAATATTCTCCCTCAAAAGAGACCCCTCTACATCGGCGACAAGGGTTCAGCTGCCCAGAGAGAGACAGGCGGCTTCTCCATGCCTGATATTCACGGACCAGTTGTTTGGGGAAGGTGCTGAGGAGTCCCCAGAGTGTCCTCACAGCTCAGGGCTCCAGTCAGCATGGGGGAGAATGGGTAGAGTCAGATGGGGCGGCTGGAGCCGGAGCCCCTGCACTGCCAGATGACTATAGACGGGAGTTTATTTCCAAAGAACATGTGACAGGAAGTCAGCATCCCTCCTCAGACCCTGGCTTGTCCTCTCCTCACATTAAGAGAACTGAGGGAGGGAAGCTGCCACAGGCGGAGCTTCCCCATGGAGGGGCTGGGGAGGGAGGTGGCTCCTTCCCACCCAGAGGGCCCAGGGGATGGGTTTGCACCAGGCTGCAGGACAGCCTGCTTGGGGCCCTCAACACTTCACCCAGGGACCTGCCTCCCCTGGGACCAGGCCCGTCAGCCAAACTGGCCTGATCAGAAGCCAGATGGAAACCTGCCCACCCACTCCCACCCCACCTAGATGTCCTCATGGCAATACAGCAGGTGTGACCAGAAGGTCGGGTAGGGAAAGTGTGACTGTGGGGCTGGGAGGGCACAGGTAGAAATCACCTGGAGACCCAGTCCCTCCTGCCCCTTTTCAGACCCAGGTGTGTGCTCCTGGCTGGGCTC